GGCCGCGGTGGTGGGGCTGCGGCCGCGGGTGGGGGATCGCGTCTTGGACCTCTGCGCCGCACCAGGGGTGAAGCTGCAGCTCATCGCCGACGCCATCGGCCCCAGCGGGCTCGCTCTTGGCGTGGACTTTAGCCTCGATCGCCTCTATCGCGCGCGCGCCCTGATCAACCGTGGCGGCTATGGGAAGGGGAATCCCACGCCGAATATCGGACTCTTCTTGGCGGATGGCCGCCACGTTTCGCTGGGAAAGCTACGCGAGTCCCTCGTCGTGGATGGGGTGGAGGGGAACCATAGAAACGATTCACAGGACGATGCCGATGGCCGACTGAGCACCTTTGAAAAGCGACGTCTCCAGCGCTTTGCCAAGCAATCTCGAGCCGATGGAGTCTACTGTGATGGAAAGCAGCAGGAGGAGGACCAGATGGCGGCGGTGGTGTTGCCTGTGTTTGCCCCTCCCCGTGTGCGGCACCTCCTAGGAGATCTATCTTTGGCCGACGACAGACTTTTTGATCGGGTTCTGGTCGATACGGAGTGCTCTCACGATGGTTCGCTTGCCCACATCCCCCTTGGCGACGATGCGCGGGCACTCGAAGCGGACCGTAGCGGAGTGAACAATGCGCATCGCATGCAGCGTATGAATTTGTCTGAGGTGAAGACTTTAGCATCCTGTCGCCAGAGCGAAGGCCTTATATCTGGGGGAGATTTTTCGCCACCTGATTTGTTGCCAGTTGTGGATGACGATGCATGCGGTGGTGAAGACAGCTTAGATCCATTACAACAACTCCAGCTGAGACTTTTGCTCAATGGATATGATCAGCTCAAGGTTGGGGGAACACTTGTTTATTCTACTTGTTCCTTTTCATATAACCAGAACGAGTTTATTATTCGAAAATTCCTCCAAATAGTAAACGCACATCACATTAGATCCGACCAAGAATCAAAAGTGGATGTTGTACAAACGCAGCCAAAGGTAATAGAGCAGTCCATAGCTGTAGTCGTTCCTGCATTTAGTTACGCCCATGAGGAAAAAACTTTTAGTGATAGTAGTAAATGTACTTTTAAGGAACGCACAACAGAGGAGGTAAGGAGGCGTCAGTTGGCTCCGTGTATGAAGTTCAGTAGCAATATAGAAACATATTCTGACACTGCTTCATGTAGCGACGTTGTTTGCAAGGATGTAAACGATAAAGGCGATCTCCAGCCGCTTTATCAACTGCAGAAACGTCTGGATGGATGTAATGACGCCTATGGCTTGGTATCACGATGTACACCGGCAGGAGAGCGAATACTTGGCTCCCATTTGTTGATGCCACACGAACTGTGTCATTGTGTGCGAGAAGCAGAAGCTACAACAGAGCCTTCTTCATCCGTTTCCTGTTCGAATTATTCTCTAGGCTCGCGATTTTGGCCACATGAATTCCAGACAAGCTTTCAGTTTGTGGCAAAAATCTGGAAAAAACATTGTAATGAGAACAGGCCCCGAAGTTTGCACACTGATCGTTTCTGTTAGTCTTTTTAAGGTTTCCTGTCCGTGGAGCTTATTTGACCTATACTTTTGGCACATTGTGAGCCTCATAATTTTTTATGAGATCCGTTCCATCATTAGCAGGACCGATAGATAAAAGACAAGAACTTATATATTCAAGACAAAGGCTGAAGTTTTTTCATGTTGTAGCACTGCGGTTGTCTTCTTTCTTGAGCCACCGGGGGAGTAAGTAATAATGATATAAATATCTGTTAATTGTATTTTTACCCCTTTCAGAAAAATTGTCTAAGTGACTCGGTTGGCATTGGTCACTTATAATAGATCTGTCCTTTTTCTTGCCTACCCTTTTATGTTAACAGTTCATCCCTATGTGCTTCTCTCTCACAAGAGAGCGTCTGCAAGCCCTCACCATTTAAAAAGAAAAAAGAAAAAGGAGCAGTAGTCGTGGAAAGCTAGCAAGATGGGTCCTGTCGTTGCCACTTACTTCCGGAGTCTTCTTCTAAGACAACGTTTACTGTTGAAATTGGCAATGGGCGGTTGTGGACATTGGAGCCCAGTGCGATTTATCGCTTTTACCCACCCACACGCAACTGATACGGAGGGGAGAACTGCGCATGGATCCATTCCCCTCGCTCAGCGTGTACCCACTCCCGCAGCATTTTCCTCAGAGTGGGCTCTGGAGGATCCAACTGTGGGAATTCACACTACTGGGCAATGGACCGGTGAACAGTGCACAAAAGGCATAAGATACATGCGAGTGTACCGATTTGAAACACTAGAGAAGTCGCATCGCGATGAGCTTCTGTATCTTTGCGATTTACTTACCCAATTTGAGCAATACCGCACCGCGGAGGCCCGCAATGTCATTGCGAATGAGGATATGAAGAACTCAATGGAATGTGCGGCTGGTAACGACTCATGCCCTTCGATGTGCCACACACCTGAAAAGGCGCACGAAAATCGAGCACGACGAGGGAAGGCTTCAACCCCGCCGCACTCCACCCCAAGGGTTCATGGGGCTTTCGTGGCGTGCTGCATTCGCTGCCAGGTTTATAACAGGGACGACGGGAACGGACAGATGCTCGCGAATGCGTTGGAGACGGGGCCCAGAGCCCAGGGCCATTTCACCTCTCTGCGTTTCACTGGGGTCAATTACGCACTCCATCACTGCGTGAATCGTGGTCAGACGCTCAGCGGAATCCTCAAGGGTTGTGCAGAGCAAAATGCCTTTGGCGCTGTCGCGGCCAGTGGTCAGCCGTACACCGCGGTATCGCACATTTACTTAGCATCCGGCGTATCTTTTGCTGCCGACTTTACCGAGCTTCAGGGGATGACTTTCGCCCAGAGAGTGCGCACCAAACCCCTTCCAACTTTAGATGCAGGATTTCCTTGCCCGGAGTGCTGGCGACATATTGAGCGGGTAGCGCTAACCCGACGCGACGAACAGCTTCCACCATTATCTCTTTACCTGTGGGTGGCCACTGAGGAGGCTGCCCTGTGTTGTATGTCGCGTGCCAAGCAGAAAATCGCACGCCTTCAGGGCTATATTGACATCAACTTTGTTGTCAAGTAGGGAAATATATTTTTACTTTTTGTTGAATCAAAAGGTGAAACAAGAAAAGCATAAAGGTAAAATCTTGAAGATGCATTATACATGGGTACATATCATGTATCTGGCATTGGTATAGCATAAGATCCAAGCTTTAGCATTTAAAGTATGGAAATTAATTCCAACAATAGTTTTGTAGAAGGCGACGCCATCTTTAGGTGTCATTGTTTTCGATAGAATTGGATCTGGTTGCTGGATAAAAACTTATTCGTATGACTTCCTTTTTTTTCTTCGTCTTTTGAATGTCTCATCGTGTTCCTGCATCACAGGCACATTTTCACTTCATGCACCCGAAGACTGGGCATCTTCCTACTCAAGAAAGCGACAGGTGCAACACGCAGCTATCCATCCTTCATCCTGAATCCGTCTCATGCAACTCGACAAGGACCTTTAGCGGGAGTTCGGCGCCCGCAAAAAAAACTTCCCTCCGCGGCACCACTTCCATTTCTACTCAACCCAAACTCCGGGCAAAGCGTTCAGCCGAGTTGAAGACGTCCGGTTTCTCCTTTGAGTCCTTGACCGAGTCCGAGTCGATGGCAATTTTGCTGTACCGCGATATTTGCGCGTGTCGCGAGGGCCACCGCGGCGGATTCCCTGACGAGCTGCTGCTCTTCTCCGCGTTTTGCGGCCCGCCTCGGAGGGAAGGGAAAAGACAAAGGGCGGCGGGACCCCACGGCGTCTCGTCCCCGGCGCTTTTGCAGATTTTCCTGCAGACCCGCCTACTTCCCGTGGAGGAGGTCCGCCGGAATGGCCACGGGGCCGCCGTCTCGGTCGCACGTTGGGTGGCGGAGCACTGCTACGGCTGCCTGGCCAGACAGGGGCCCTCGGCCTCCCACACCGTTGATGGGGGAAGGGGAGAGGAATGCGGCGAAGAAGGGAAGGTCCCGTTGATGCCGCGGGAGCTCCTCGCGGAGGTACTGGTCATGCTCGCGCGCCGTGGATGCTTGGGCGCCGCGGACGCACCAACTTGGCTTTCTATCATCCTTTTTAAAGTCCAGGAGCAGATTGCTGCGGTGGCGGCAGACGCCCTGGGGGATAATTCTGCCAATCCCACAGCGTTCTGGGCGGCATGGCAAGCAAAGTGGGCCCCGACGCACTCCGCAGCTTTTGTGAATCCCTCACAAAGTGTCGCGTGGCTCGGATGGAGGCTGTCCGAAGACATCGTGCGCACCGTCTATGCGCTGCAGGCACTGAGCAAAGATGTTGATAGTGCTCGGAGTGGCGGGGAAACTATCAAGAATTCCGTGTCCTCCTTGTCAACTGATTCTGGACTGGATATTGATCGTGCATCTCATCAATCGTCTTGGGTTTTCTTTTCATTTCAATTTTTTATGCATACTTTAGGGATAGCGCTACACGAATTGGGTTTGTTACGCAATGATGAAAAGACAAGCCTGTCGCTACCTGTAGTCCCCAATGCAGTGACCGTGGACCGAAAAACAAGCGATGAACTTTTGGTACCTCAATCTACAAGCGATTCGAAAGGTCCAACCGCACCTATTACAGCAGAAACTTCAGCCTTAGAAACAAAATCCTATGATGATTCTTGCTCCTCTTATTGGGTTGATATCCTTCTTCAGACATGCTTTTTAATAAAACATCATGAAGAGTTCCATTTACCGTCTACATCGTCACAGGAAAATGCATTATCATTTCCTTTGATGGGAGGAGGCGGAAAAGGCGAAGCATTTTCTCGAGGGGGTCCGAAGATTTCGCAGCAAATGGTTGGTGGAAGCGAAGAAGAAAAACGGATAAGTATGCTTTTAAACCATAGATGGTGCGAGTTTACTAGAATGGTGTGCTCGAATATAGCAAAGCTACGTGCGCATGATGTTCGTACGGCAATCCTCGTTGATGCATTGCTAACATGAAGAGGGACAGTTATTAGGCGGTAGCTTCGAAGAAGAAAAGCTTCAGTAACGTGAATGAAAACTCCAAAAAATGTAAACCATGTTTACAGATTATTCATATTTTTCTGCTATTTTGTTTTATTTATTTACCTTTTACATCACCCAACAGTGAAATGTAGTTTACACGAATAAGTTTGATCTTTTGAGCTGACAACTCAAATAAACTTGTGTATACCTTTTTTATTTTGCGTCTTATGACTTACACTTTCTGGAGAAAATGCGCTTGAGATGTTTTTCATTAATCACAACTCGTTTTCTAAATATTTCACGATATTGCTCGTATCGAAACAAAAAAGTAACAGCTTACCAGGAAAGTAAGTATCTTTTACCATATGTGGAGTTGATATGAAATGAAAATTTAAAATAAATTTCCTTCATGTTATACATATTTTTCAATGTATAGGATTTTTTTAAAATTCATATCACTTACAGTTAAACACACTTAAGCCCTAACTTCGATTAAATAATAACAAAATAGTAGTCTATATATCACACATAGCTTTAGAGGAAATTAATGACTCTTAAGGTACGAAATTTGTGTAATGGATGCGAACTCGCATGCTCAGGAGAAGCCAAGACTCAAGACATTGAAGAAACTTCCATTAGTCAACCAAAGTTTGAGTTTTCACCTATATTTCAGCCCACAGACCCGAAACATGAGGATTATGAGTATTACAAGATCCCTGACAGTAAGAAATTTGTGGAGGAAATAGAGATGATGGGCCGCAGGGTACTCCAGGTTGATCCAGAGGCGCTCACAGAGCTAGCGTACAGAGCATACACCGATATCCATTATTTCTTTCGTAAGGATCACCTGCAAGGTTGGCACAACATCCTTGACGACCCTCAGTCCTCTGATAATGAGCACTTTGTCGCGGAAACATTGTTGAAGAACGCGTGTGTGGCCTCCGCGATGGTACTGCCCTCCTGCCAGGACACCGGCACCGCGATCGTTCTTGGCAAGCGCGGTGAGCTCTGCTGGACAGGAGGCGAAGATGAAAAGTACCTTTCCAAAGGCATCTTCGACGCATACACCAAGCGCAGCCTGCGCTACAGCCAGGTCGCGGCCTTGGATATGTTCAAGGAGTGCAATACTGACAACAACCTGCCCGCGCAGTTTGATCTGCTCGCGGTGCCTGGTAATGCGTACGAGTTCCTCTTCATCGCCAAAGGCGGCGGCTCGGCAAACAAGTCTTTCCTTTTTCAGCAGACCAAGGCGCTACTGAACCCCAAGTCATTACGGACATTCATAGAGGAAAAGCTCAAGACCCTCGGCACGGCTGCATGCCCGCCTTATCATTTAGCCCTTGTGATTGGCGGAACAAGCGCCGAGATGACAATGAAGACGGTCAAGCTTGCGAGCTGCCGCTACCATGATAGTTTGCCCACAACAGGCAGCAAGGATGGCCGTGCCTTCCGTGACCTGGAGTGGGAAAAGATCCTCTTAGATATTGCGTCGAATTCCGGGATTGGGGCGCAGTTTGGCGGCAAATACTTTGCCTCGCAGGCGCGGGTGATTCGTTTGCCACGGCACGGCGCATCCTGCCCCGTGGGGCTAGGGGTTTCTTGCAGCGCCGACCGCCAGATTTTAGCCCATATCAACAAGGACGGCATCTTCCTGGAGAAACTCGTGCGTGACCCTACCCCTTACCTGCTATCGATCTCCTCGCCGAACAACATCAGCGCGGTTGAGGTCGATCTCAACCAGTCCATGGCCGATATCCGGTCTCTGCTAAGTCAATATCCTGTCGGTACGCGTGTTATCCTCTCCGGTACGCTCGTCGTCGCTCGTGATATTGCCCATGCGAAGATTAATGAGATGCTCCAGAGCGGGGAGCCGATGCCGGATTACATGCGTACATCCCCCATTTATTATGCTGGGCCTGCGAAGACGCCGGAGGGCTACGCCAGCGGGTCTTTCGGACCCACAACCGCCGGCCGTATGGATTCCTATGTGGATTTATTTATGTCCAAAGGTGGCAGCTTCGTGACGTTGGCAAAAGGAAACCGTGGTAAGGAGGTAACAAATGCGTGCAAAAAGCATGGTGGCTTCTACCTGGGCAGCATTGGTGGGCCAGCGGCGATATTAGCGAAGGAAAACATAACCAAGGTCGATTGTATTGCATTTCCAGAGCTTGGTATGGAAGCGGTTTGGCGCATCGAGGTGAGGAACTTCCCCGCGTTTATTGTTGTTGATGACAAGGGCAATGATTTCTACAGTGGTTTGCTTTAGTGTTAGACAACTTTTTGAAGTCTGGAGTATGGAGATACTAAAGTATTGGTCTTCGTGTCAGCACTAATGAACGTGATAAATATCTATTTATTGTTCCAATTTGAAGAAAGGAACCAAATGAAAATTTGTTTATTCAGACATATTTTTGATACTGGCATATGTATATATGCATACACAATTTTAAAATTGGAATTTGCGGGCACACAGCTTAAATATCTTTCCTTTTCAAGGGCTCATTTTTACATTTGTGTAAAATCATTATATTCTTTACCTTTTCGGATTAGCTAACATCCCTTTTACAAATTCAATGCACATCAATTTACATATCTTTTATGCAAAAACTATTTGTGAATAAATGTGATGGAGTTGGTATTTTAAAAGTGTACATCTCAATAGTCGTCATTTTTATTTTTATTCCCTATCATCTTTGAAAATCTCTATTTTGCGCAAATTGTGACTTTTCGGAAAAGATGGCTTGACTAAAACAACAATAGTGATTATAAATAGTCTTGCATTGATAAAATAAAGATCAAATTTTACTACTGAAAGATTGTAATTTGTTCCTTTCCTACAAAATTGTACACGAAAATCAGGAATATCTATTATTGATTCGACGAAACTACTCTTCTGGATAATTTCATTAAGCAAGATGTTTGTTTCTAGAAAAAAAATGAAGCCTATTTCATTGATTGTATTTCAAAGAGCAAAATCTCTACGATTTTGGTGAATTTTCTATTACATTTACTCCCCACACTACCACCACCAATAAAAGAAAACTGATAGTTGGATAAGGCAAGATTATACATTGTAATGGGTAAAGGAAAAATGTCTCCTGTACAACAAACAGATAGTGAGGCAAGCACCTTTTCAGATGACGATCTGGATGAGAAAGCGCTCTTCCAACTTTCGTGGTTAGATGTGCTTGCCAGGCTATTTGTCGATGTCAAGCAAGTGAAGGAGCCTGAAGTATCACCATATCCCATCGCTAATATTAACTACAGCTCTGCTTTTGATCTTGCTATGGGGTATTATCGTGCCCTGCGACCGACTATGACGAGTCTATATTCATCCAAGCCTTTTTCACCAAGTATCCAGACTTCATTGTCAGCAATTGGTGGTCCTGCTTCATGTGCTAAATGGATGTTATTGCTCTCCTTTACGATGCGGCAGTGTATTGCGCATTACACGATTTGGAAGGATCGCCGAGACTTTGTTTTATGCCCTGCAATGTTCCAATGGGCGACACAGGAACAAATTCATTCCATCGATTTCAACCAGCCGTTGAATCATCAAAACTCACAAGACGAGTTAGCAGAGTTGGCGGAGATGACTAAAAGCGAAAAGATTCTCCAACTGAAATATGAGGATCTTGTACGGCAGTGGCTCCCTCAACATGAAGATCTTGTCGCTCCCAAACACAAGGATTCTAAAGGAGTCGAGTATTGCTTTAGCCTCTGGCGGGCTGTGCGGTGGGAGCTGCAGACGATTGGCTGCTTTAGTCGTCTTTATCACAAGAACTTTCAAGTATGGCACCATCGAAAGGAATTGCTCAACCATGTCCTAAAGACCATGAATACAAATGATGCGAGGTTTTCGTCGGTGATGGCCACCGCTGTCAACTTCGATGATTACCTCCTAGACGAACACGGCATGAGCTTTGCGGATATCGACGAACGTGTGGCTTGTGAGGCGGTTCTTTTCCACAAGGACGCCAAAAACTATCATATATGGCTGCACCGCTCTTGGTTTATTTCTGCATTTCCATTTCTGATCAACCTCCCAGAGGGATGGGATAAATGGCGGATCTTTCTTGGTATGTTTCCAGAAATAAAATCTCACGACGTCATTACCAACACCACTGCGGCGGACTTTTCGGTGGATCCACTGTGGAAGGAAATCAACTGCCGGCGTCTGCTGCTTCCATCCTGTCCTTTGGCTGATGAGATTACCTTTACATCTCTTATGATCCAAGAGGACCACTTCAACAATTCCGCCTGGTGCCATCGTTTTTTGATAATCCGGAAGTATTTAGTTGAGGCTCTGCTGCGGCAGCACCACGCCCAGCAGCGGCATGCCGATTTAGTTATACTGAAAGATGTGATTAGCGCGGTATGTCAACTAGAGGTGGACTTCGGCCTACAGTGGGCAATCGTTGAACCCACGAATGAATGTGCTTTCGTGTACGCACGCTCCATGGCGGAATTACACCAAACCGCAATACTGCGCCTTTTGCTTTTCGAACGCGCAGACGAGGACGCCGTCGATTCTTCGACATGTGCGGATTCGTTCCTTTTGTCTGATCTGATGCCACCTTTAGCTTCTGTGTGCGTACAAGAAGGTCTCTCTGAGGACTCATTCCATGAGGACGACACGGAGTGCGAACCACCACGTACGTTAGAAGGGACGGATTCTCCTTTGAACGGGAAACCGCGTAAATTCCATTACCAGATTAGCAACTTCGCTTATCGCGTTCGAAAGCTGTCATGGAATGAATATCTTAATACCTTTGCGTTGGTCTTTTTTCAAAATGGGGTTCTACGCACATATGGAGTGCCACGCGTACGGGAGCTTCAGCACGCGTTCGAGCAGGCTTCGCTCGAACACGCCCCGTCTCCACCATCGTACGGTGCCGCAGTTGACAAGGAGGAAGTTGGGTCCGTTAGGGCCGCGATGTACACGAATTCTTCTCAATTTATGCTGGATAATATGTGGCAGGTCCTAGCTGCGCAGTACCACTCTGCATTTAACTTTCTAGAGCAGACATGGCTGCTTTATGGGGATTCCGCGTTCAAGGTAAGTGTAGAGCAAACACGTCGACCAGAGGACTACGTCGTGCGTGGGGTCACACCGGATATGCGGACACCAAGCCTCGCAAAAGGCAAGGAGTCTACGGTGGTATCAACAACCGCAGACGCTGAGGCCCTTAACAACAACAACAGTAACCCCAAGGAGAAAAAGCCATTACCGGCAGTTTCCCTTTTCTTGACCGTAGAGGCTGATGCACTTTATCTGGCAAAACGCCTGCTTCTAGAGGATCCTATTCGGAGCAAATACTGGAAGAATGAAGTATGGACAGTACTGTATCGTCAATATTAAGGTGATAATATATAAATTACCATTAAAGGTAAGTCACGTTTTTTTCCTCTCTTCTTAAATAGTGGCATTATTAAGACTCAATATTGCATGCAAATGATGATGTTAAAGCCTGTGTGAACGTTTATTATGCGGAATTTTATTGAAATTTAATACCTCATTACTTTTGTTTTGAGGTATATCAAAAAATGAACTTTTCAGATGGGTTTTAAAATTTTAACACTAGTAATGCTTTTCCAGTTTCTCTTGCCAGTTCACTTTTCTCGTATCTGTATGAGAATATTATTTTTTTGTCACTGTATCCTTTTATTTTACACAGATCAATATTAACATGTCGAACTTCTATTCCCACTCTATCTGTTTTACCGTATTACACGTGCATGGATGTAAAATTGTTGAATTTTAGTGTTTTTTAAAGGAGGAAAAAGGTTGTATCTTTACATTTTGTAAAACAAAAAATCAAAAGAATTCGCGAGTAAGCTTCTTGGAGGGTCCTGATTCTGTAAGTTGTGCTATAGTACTGCCCATATTCACCTGGAGGTCAAATTTCATGAGCCTCTAGGGAAAGACATTTGAAAGATCACAATTGACACTTTGACATCATTTTTTTTTCTTACTACAAACAGATGGGCAAATATCAAGTGTCAAGGAGTCAATGATAAAAACTGCACAGTTATATCTTTACATATCTTTTTTCACTATATCAAGCAGTCTCAGGATAGCTTTGTTATGCATATGAATTTGTCAGACATATCACAGTGCAGAGGCATTGAATAAGGCAGCTGTGCTACCACAGTGGTGTGGTGTACAAGCTCAGTTATCGGATCCGAGTTGAACTCTGTGAGATTTTTCAGGCGCATCTGCAGAAGGCTGTTTACTATCGCAATGCATCATTTTCCCATACTGGTTAATAAACTCTGCTATTTCTTATGGGGCAGTCTACTGTTTTTACATTTGTGATTTGATTACTATCAATATATTAAGGAATAAACTATTAAGACGTTGATAACACATTTCTACGTTTATAACTATGTGGGTTGTTTAATCTATACTGTGGTATTTATTTTAACTGTTCTGTACAACCTTCTATGTATACGATCTAATAAAGTAGAGGTAAGGAGAATATTGAAGGGCGTGTTGATAGGTGAAAGGTAACCTATTATATTATTATATCCAACCCCCTGAATCATAATATTAAGCCTTTCTGTAATGAGAAAGTATGTCAATTCTCTCTTGAGGCGAAGCGGTACATGGAATTATTCATACACTACAATTCTTTCCTTCAGCACAAACATGTGTCCACAAACACCTCTGTCTTCATCGTCTAATGCCTTAACTGGAAACTATTGCTGTCAAGGTGTTTGTACCTCTTCAGGATCCCTGGATAATTGCCGCTACGAGGACGACCTTTATATTTATGAGTCTAAACTTAGGTCATGTGCAGCGCAAAGCAGCGTCTCGGTTGAGGCGGCAAAACAACAAATATATGAGTTACGATGTATTCGCTCGGAGCGCAGGGCACGTGATAAAAACAGGCGCCTATGGTTCTCCATAATTCTTTCCATTCTTTTATGGATGTTTATGAATGATCAAGCAAATCGGTACTCTGCCATGCTCACTCATCTTCAAACACAAGAATATGCCAAAGCACACCTTCCAGTGAAGTGGGTCATGCTTAAATAATCCTTGTGTAGTTCTTCTATTCTTTCTTATTTGGGATACGGAAGGTAGTTGTAGCAATGGGAAGACGTTCTTACAAAGGCGTATGCTTTGGTGTGATTTTTACTATCATTTTTTCTTGTAAAGCGGAAAAACGGGAAGGTCCCCTTTAATTTCATGGGAAAGGTATAGAATCATACGTTTTCTGGTACAGAGCCATACCAAATTGAACAAATATATTCACATTGGAGAAAAAATATATATTAATGGAAAAATATAAGTTATTTTGAATTTTTTTCTGTAATACGGTTCATCGTGTTTTTCACGATGTGTAATATTCTTTTGCTTACTGACAACTAGCTGTTTTATTTGCGCAAGTTTTTTTGTGGTTGAAAAGCGCTTTTTATTAGCTTTCCAGCTATACAAATATAATGGCCTTAAGAATAGCAACAGACATTTTTCTTCGAAAAGCACAAGAACGAAGCGTCGCACAAGAGGATCATACAACAACCATACTTCAGAACAGCTACGACCGCGAAGTTGTGCGCATCGATCATGAACTTCAGCAGTATCGCCAACAGAAGAAGATAGCCTTTATTCCACCATTGTACCGCCGTCGATACGACCCTGATGCGGAGGAGGTTATTCGTTTATTTCACGAGACAAGTAAATTGTTTGAGCTCAATCTCCGGTTTAGGGAAATCGAAAAGCTGGATGAAATGCACGCGAAACTGTGGAAACTTCTGAACAAGGGAGGCCGTATGCAAATCACGTTACAGGAGTATAAGGAAGTCTTGCATACGCTCGAAAAGGAGGTCTCCAATGCCAATAGAGAAGAAAATTGTGCAATGACTGTGGCTCCAACATGCATCGTCCCTAATTCGGCCACGTGTTCCAGCAGCGCCACGCGGAATTCGATAGACCCTGGATCCCTTAATAACCCGCTCAGGTCTCCCGTCCAACTCGCTTCGGTGGAAAAAATCACCCTGGATGGTGACTTGGAGTCCAAGTCAAAGGTGACGCCGCCGCCGTTGTTGACCCCCTGCCCCTCCTATGGTGTCCTCACCCATAGCCGAGAGCAGAGCCTGTGCAAGGAGACCCAAGCCCACGGGACGCTGGGCGAGATGCTTTACATGTCCTACATCGACACCCCATGCCTTAACCTGGGTTTATTTTTTTCCTGCTTGTGCGGGACACAGTGCCCGAAGAACGTCGATATCGCTGTCATTTACCAGATCTTCGCAAAGAAAGTGTCCTTAGTCAAGTGCGAGGCGGAGCTGTTAATTTGGGATACCGACAACGACGGTAAGCTCACGGAGGACGAAATGGAGAGTTATGTTGGGGACTTGGTGCCGCGTATCGTGGCACTGCAAGGGATGCCCGAGGCCGATCTGCCCTTTTATTGCTGTACGGTCACCCGTCGTATCTTTTGGGATCTCGACCAGGGGAATCGTGGTTTCATTCGCATTGGTGCGCTGCTTCAAAGTACGGTCATGGATGAGTGGGTGACTATGCAACTGCAGACTGAGGACAGCCCCAGTAGCTGGTTTAGTGCAATGGCAACACAGCAACTATACTCGAAATTCATTCTGTTAGACACGCGCAATGTCGGCACTCTCGATGCGGCAAGCCTCAAATTTTATAAGAAGGGTCTGCCTACCATCATCGATGATGGACTACATCCGGATGTTAGCCCACTGTGTGCGCTTTTTATTGATCGATATTTTGAGACAAATACAATGACGGCTAATCGGGATATGGATTATAGAAGGTTTGTGGACTTTGTGGTGGCTGTGGAGATGCTTCCGCAGTGTAGCCGGCCGGTCTTTTGGTGGGATATTCTAGATCTTGACGGGACGGGGGTTATAACTCCTTTGAAAGCTAATTTCTTTTTCAAAGAAACACACGCTAAGTTGGTAGCAGCCAAGCTGGAGGTACCATCCATTGAGTCGGTAATAGAAGAAACTTTCGATCTTATCAAAAGTGCCGAACCACTGTGCATCAGACGTGATGAATTTATTGCATCACCTCAAGCGGGTCTGTTCACGGGGATGCTAATCGATTGCTTATGTTTTTGTGCCTATGAGAGCCGAGAACATCGGTAATAAACTTTTTCTTTTTACACTTCTTAATTTTCATTTTTTTGTGACACTTAGAATAGCTAGAAATTTATATATTGATTCCTCATTCAGTAAGCTAACGGGACACTTTTGGGGCTTGACATTGTCCAAAGGTTCTAATATTTTTTTTCATTGAATGAAGCGGGGATAAAAGGAACATTGTTCTGTGAATTGACAATATGAAGCTACTTGCGTTTTTTTTTCTATATATGGTTTTACCAAAATTATACAATTAGAAAGTATTTCCTTAAAATGGAAGTTAAAAATATTGATATTTCAAAAAGAAGTTTTCACGTACATACGCGCCATCACTCATTGACACGTACAATCCATCCGGAGAGCCGAGTACTTTCTATACAATATACTTCCCTTACGCCTAATGAAGGTCTGGTATATCTTGAGACGAACTTGAAGACTGCAATATCTTTTGATAGCTCTTCGCCGCGTCGTGTGCCTCAGGTTAGGTTTCTATTGGGCGTCCACGGTGTCCGAGTAAGAACATCTGATCGTGCAGAAGATGAGGGTCCTACACAAGACCTCTGTGCCTCCATTGAAATTAAAGTACCCGCACAGCATTCTTTTGCAGGTGAAACTGATGTGCGATCTTCATTACCTGTCATGCTTGAGGTTCCAATTTTAGCGTGTACTATTTCCGAAAAGGTCCCTGCATGCCAGCCGAGATTGGCCGCAGGCGACGTATTCTCGAGAAAATTAAGCGGAATTCACCAGGGTAGCCGAATTCCTAGTGGGCCTACGACATCCCCCGCATTTCATAGGGTATTTTCCCCTTCGTATGTGGTAATGGATGGAGAGGTGATAGACCACACGAGGGGGTATGGCGATACCCATGGTGAAGTTGTAGTAGGGACAAAATGGCGACAACGACGTGTCTGGTTTATTGATCTAACACAGCTGTCCTTACAAGACAGTACGGTGTTAATTGACCAAACAACAGGACGGATTTTAGTGCCTACGGCACTGCAATGCAAATACAATTTATTTCCTCCGTGTAAGGATGTCGCATCAGGATCGCCGCGCGCCGCGTGTGAGGATTCAAATCAAACAAACGATCCTCTTCACTCTGAAGGAACGAACAATAGTATTGTAAAGCAACTTCGAGTTGTCTTGTTGAATGATTTATTGTCGCTTGACCATCTGATTCAAAAGACTGAAATTGAAGGGGGCAATTGCATGAGTATCGATATACCGATATTAAATTTTAGATTAGCTTCGATTAATCTATGCAAACGACCATGTAGGGAATAGAAAAGAAAGATGGGGATAAAGGTGCTACTGTACATTATGTGTATGCATTGCTTATTGGTCTTTATGTAGGGAATGGAGGTTGCTTTAAGAAAGTTTTTTTCTAACCATATTCAGATGAATGACGAAGCTCTTCAGCGTCGAACAGGAAGGAAGTTCCACTTCATATTTTTTGTCCTAGATTATACAGCTTTCTATTGCTTAGTATTCTTTTAGATATCTTTATCTGAATGTTCCGCTTTAGCATGTCTCTGTGATTATGTGTACCATACCAGGGAAATGCCTTAATCCATCTTCCACGTTAAACACAACTGTAAAAGTGAAGAAAACAAGATAAACAGACTTTTGTTTTATGTCAACATACTCCACAGGAAGGAGTGAAGGGAGGCACTGTGATTGCCAATATAGATATGTATAAGATAGATTCAGTAATTGAATTTATAGTATTTCCTTATATTTTCTCTTTAATTATGATTATTACAAAAATGGAGACTTGATTCAAATAGAATGAAATCATCAGCACAAACATGGGAACATAATCCTTTATTTCGCATCATTGCGTTCCTGGATAATACAGGTGTGCAGCTATTTAACCTAACTGATGAAATGGATTTGCATGGTAACTTTGTGCACCCAGAAAAAATATTCGCATCGAGTACGCCTATCTACGCTATCCTTGTAGCAGGACTGGCTGCGCTGCGTGGGAACGTTCGGGCATTCTTTGCAGATATTGAGGAGCAAATGTCCCTACTTCAAGTGATGGGAACGGGTGATAACGAACTTGCCGCAAACAACGCCATTGTCAATAATATAGGCGGAAAGGTTGATAAGGGGTCTGAATCAGACATGTCGCATGTGGTTGTTATGTCGGAGGCGTTTTCATCTCTACCCTTCCACACAGAGTGGAGTGCCAAGTTATTGCAGCCAAAATCTTTCAATGATTTCATTGATGTATTTGAAAGCGGATTCCCCCTTCCGCAACTTTTTCGGATAAAAGAGGCCTTCGGTTTGCTCCGTAGTTCGGACCCTGTTTCTGCAACGCCATACCCGCTGGTCGAGCAATTCCTCATTGACGCCCTGGATCGTTGGATTCCACAGCGGTCGGTGGCTGAAAATGACAACATGGTATTGGCTTGTGGAGTTGAACCCTCAATTGTGGCGGATATCCGGGGGAAGGGGGATCAGACTCCACTTGCATTCGTAGACTTTGTAGTAGATGTTGTTTTCCCGGTGCTGCCGACAGGTGCGCACGTTGATGAGGTTCTGCAGGATTGGTTAATTCTTTCGTATATAAAAAATCACGAGTCGGTGGATGTTGACACTGAGAAGATATCTTCAGATAGTGAGACAAACGAAATGGGCCTTACCGAAGGAAACATGCTAAAGGATGAACGTCATGAGTCCATTCGTCAATTTGAGACGAGCGGTCCTTGTGGATGGAATCCAGACGACGCAGATGTTTATATTAGTGAAGCCAACCTCGAGCAGTTCATGCGAGAGAAACCTTCTCTTGTACCCCACGAAATTTTAGTGAAAATACGTAAACCTTGGCAGGACACCAACATCACCACGTTTGAGCTTGAGCATCACTACACCATAACCGAATTACGAGCCATTGTGAAGAAAGTTGCAGGGCTTTCCCAGGGCTCACCAGACGAGCTTAAAGCGTTTGAATCCGACCTTCAGCATCCTGTTCCTCCACAGTTGCTGAAGGAGGCTGCGGCCGCAAATAATAAGGCATCCTACGTGCGTATACTGATGGCACTCCACTCCCCTTCATACACCGGGCAGCAATTTTTAGATGAAAACACCTGTGATGCCTTGGACGTCATCTCTCAGGGCTACGAAAAGGCTAAATCTAAGAAGGAAATTTTGTCGAGTACAGACGCAGAATGTATGCAAGAGGAGGAGTTCAGTATTGAGGATCCGTCTCTAAGTAGTACGCGGCTAATTCGTCATTTTAAGCTACAAGAACTAAAAGATTATGTGGTAAATGTGCTTATGGAACCGGATGTTGTAAGGACCAAAAAACAGTACGCTAATCTTATTGTTAAGAAGCGTCGAAGGTGTGAATGAAGGAAGAAAACATCCAAGGCTCTCTAATGACAGTGGCGACGCATTGTAGTGCATATTGTAGTACGTTTTAGACTTAATCCCGTTCTCAGAAGTCAAAGAGGACAAAAGGAAGAAACGCCACTGAATGAAGAGAAGCAATATTTCGTTTCATATAGTCCGTGAAAAGTGTTGTCCTCTTCTAAAAATTATGCTCTTCTAACCAGAGAAAACATTCCATATTTCATATCCTTTCAATGTATTCAGTTTTCCATATCTGGACTCTTTTTTTTTGCTTAGCTTTTCTTACTTTGGTCAGATGAGGTAAGAAAGAGACAGTAAATACAATGGTGTTTTTTCTTTTCCTTTATCGTAGGGAATTTGTGTACTTGCCCAATTATCGACGCTTTCCTATGCTGAGGTTACCACCTCTTTTTATGCGGCAAGCAGCTTTTTATACATCGTGTGCCCATACGACAACATCGTCGGCGAGAATCATCAGGAGTTCACACAACAACAAACAAAGCACTGTTTCTCAGGAATGTTTATCCTTTTCACCTGCCAATACGATCGAAGAAATTGTGGAGAAAGGAGCGAGCACCACTTACCATTTAAAATTCCATCCTGATGAGATTAGCGATAGACCAAATTTGGGGCTTGATATAGATAAGGATAGGAGCTTGTCCACCGGGTTCGATGGCAGGTTCAGCACCGCATCTGGCACGGAATGCAACGACAGAGACAAAGCAATAATGGATTTCAACAAAGCCAAGGTTCGTCTTTCGTATTATGCCTCAATAATTGGAAACCGCCCCCTGAAATCCTCCCATTCTACAGTTCCCTCCATTAGTGAGGACGAGCTCGCTGAAGTTCGGAACATCTTGGATTGCATAATTCAGTCTGATCACCAATTCAAGAACTACTGCATACTTGATTCATTCCGTGTAGCTTACCACTTTGGGTTCCCCAAGAGATGCTGTGAACTCTATACGTCCGTAGCCCGGGATGCCTTGGGTGGTGGAGGCAATGGAGAAAATCGCCTCCCCTTTCCTGAGGCCGTGTTGATATCGGAAATTGTCCTGGAAGCGGCGGCGGCGACGATGGACCTGGAAACTCTGAGCCTGTGCACCGGAATCGTTGAGAAGATGGCCTCCATCGCTTCGACGTCTGTTCAAAAACCGCTTGAGGTGCCAGCCCCTGCTGTCGTTTCGGCGCTGCGGTTGTACTGGTATTTAGTTTTACTCTTGCGGGATCACCAGTTTGCTCCCAAACTCAGCTCCTCTACGGGTCTTACGGAGGAGGCTGCGGCGCACGACATTTCAATGTCCACAAAGGTAGAGAAGTCCCAGCGATTCCACGCCTCTTTCACAACCCTCGCAACACGGGTTGTGAATATTTTAGGGGTCGTTGAGGCGAACAGAAACGCGTTTATCGTCGCGTCGGTGCGCCTTGCGTTCTATAACAAGAATGTTGTGGACGGCCAGGCCGCAGTGTACCATCAAGTGTTTCGCCACTGGTGCCTCCAGCATTCGGATGCGCCGAAGAGCCAAGAACGGCACGATCACGACGATGGTACTCCAAACAAGGAAGGATACTCTGTGCCGTCGTGGTTTACGGCTCACTGCTTGCACGAGTTCATGCGCAGTGTTATCTACACAAGGCGACATGATATTGCCGAGGTGTATTCCCTTCACGTGGATCTTTTTTGGCGGCGCCGGAGGCGATCACCTCTGGCGCCGCACCACACTGAAAAGCCACTTGATTACGATGAAGACGCGCTTGTAGGGAGCATGGTGCGCTACTTTGCATTCTCACGACAGACGCGACGAGGGGTTCTTTGGGTGCAGTCGCTGATGAGCCAATTTCCTGGATATGTCCCAAGCATCCCGGTGTGCAATGGGATCGCCCGCCTTGCGGCGGCTGAACGAGACATTTCACTATCAAAATGGTGCCTCAGCCACCTTCTTAGTGAAACGCAGCCTGTTCCCCCTACCTCGACAGAGCTCTACGCCTGCCTGTGCGCCAATGCGAGGGTGGGCATCCCCAATTTCGACCAAGTCCTGCACTCCTTGCAGGAGAATCAACTTGTCCAGCTCACCGAGGAGGAGCTTCTCCATCTTCGACTGCTGCACTGTAGGGCCAGCACCCAATGGCAGAATATTTCCACAATCGTGCGCCAGGCCGCGCCGTCTGTGGCAAGCATCAACGACGGGAATATCGGGGCCGCTTTAACACTAAGCTCAACGGGAGTTTTCACCGCCGAGGATGATTACCGATCCTTTGGGATTGCTCGCATATTGGATGGCCGTTTCGAGTACCTTGAAACGAACCCTCGTAGTGTTTTCTCGATAAGGAATCTCGATCAGCTGCTGCTTGTTATGCAAGAGAGTGAGCATTCGCACTTTTTGGCGTACTACCGCTTCTTTCTTAGCCGTTATATGAATCTTTTGAGTTTGGAAAAGCGTGCACAATGGGCTGGGCTTGCCCTCGTCTGGGCATTGACTCGTGTGGGCAAGATGTCTAAAGAGGATATTCTGTACATCGCATGGGAAGTTGCCCAACTTTTACAGTTGCAGCGAACTGGTGATCCAAAAGTTGACCGAACGCCAAACGAAACCCTGGACGTAATTTTGCCAGGCACCGAAAAAAGTTTACGCAGAAGATGGGGAATGATTTGCATTCACTTTCCACAGGCCTGGTGGAAGCAACTGTTCAGCAAAAAAATAAAACAACAGAAACACCAACTTCTCCGCAATTCCGGCTGGAATGGTGGAACTAGTAAAAGAGGTGTCGACACTGTTTTGATTGATGAAACGACTCTCAAGTCCATAATTCATGCATATGAATCGTCGACGTTGCCGTCTGCGAGGTTCCTCAAATATCATACTCGTGGATTATGCACTGATCTGACATCCACACGGCTGTTTGATGATGTAACATTGGCCATCTTCCGCGAAGAAACCCCCTGGAATATGATGGAGAGAAATGCTTGCTATTTGCTAGCTTCTAAAAGGGAATGGTGGCGCCTTCAAAGTAATTAATACTACGCTTTAGTTTTGTGTTTTGTGTTTTTGTTTTCTTTTTTTTTTTTACTTTCTAGAAAGGGTGTGGGAGATGAAGGTGGGAGTTTCACAAATCATGCGCCTATGCACGCATAAGCGAACTATTTATTACTCTGTTTTCTTTTTTTATATATTAGATTATTTTGATAAATTGCATTGACGCCTTTTTTAATGATTTTTTTCCCTTACTAGTGGTCCTCTTCTATAGTATATTAGGCTTAAAAACTGTGCGTGGGATATACCTTTTTGTGTTTGTTCTTTACTCCACTGAGGGTTATTACCACTCTAATATAAGTAAATTAAAGACAAACACCACGAAGTATAATCACAATGGGAGGAAAAGCGAAGCCCACAAAGCATACTGCAGCTGAAACCCGTCGTAAGGAACAGTTGGCTAACCAAAATATGGGTGGCGGGGCATCTGGATTGAAAGATCGGAAGGGTGGCCAAGCGGGCCATTCTAAGTTTATTTGCAAGATATGCATGTTGCAGGCTCCTGATCTCAAGTCTATGAGTTTACACTACGAATCTAAGCATACAAATGTAGAGTTTTGTGAAGATGATTTTCAAGATCTCCACGAGAAGTTTGGCGGAACCACAAAGGGAGTAGCGGTCCATGGTAGCTTGAAAAAGGCTCGAAACACTAAAAATGGTTCTTAATTGAACTGAGAGAAGATTCAACAAAGGCAACAAGTTCAATACTAAAAATCCTTACCGTGATATGAATTTTGTACCATATTATATGCGCTTTAGAAGTAACTTCTTTTTCTCTTTTTCATTCTGGTGTGGGAGATTTTTTATATTGATCACCTCATCACATCTTAAAATGCTCGAATAATAATCTTATATAAATGGTAATAATATGGGACTACAATTTTTTGTGCATAAGTCTTAGTGTAATCGAAAGTATAGATAATGAAAAAGTAGCAAGCATAAAAATGTAATTGAATTCTTCATCGTACTTTCCTTTTTTTATTCTTAATTTCAAACCCCTTGTATGCGATTTATGGTCACAGGGAAAACTTCTCGTATTTGTGCGTATCATGGGTTCAAAGTTATTTAAACCGCTAATTAACGACCAAAAACAGCAGCAAGTGACCTTGGAAGAGGCCACGAAGCAGGCAACTCTGAGTGCGGATGACATTCCTTCGTTGAATATCATTCCACACGTTATCTATGCGACTCTATCGGCACATGTATACAACAATGTGCAACACACTACACCCCTCCCAGATGGGTGGGGAGTCTTTCGGACGTGCGCCAGTTACAATTTGGACCGGGAGGGTTTTTTTGCCATTGCGTATTTGCACTATGGCTACAGACAATGTGTCATTGCCGAACGCGGGACGTCAGAGGTTCTAGGGCTGCGCGCGGGGGTGTGGGTGTACTTTGAGAAGCCGACGATTCAGTTCTACCTAGCGGAGCAATTTTCGAAGCAGGTTCGGGTGGATCTTTCGATGGTGTACGGCGACGATAGGTGGCACGTGAGCTACACGGGGCATAGCCTAGGTGCCGTCATTGCATCCCATCGCGCGGTAGAGGAAAATACCTTTGCTGTCACGTTTGAATCTCCAGGGGCGCAGGAGTTCATCAATAAAATCAGCAAGTACCATACCATGAATACGAATATTGTTACCTATTTGCGTGGACCTAATCCGATTAACACACTGCGGCCGCATTGTGGTTATTTGCTGACGATTCCTACACCTCCGGTTCAGCTCGGCGGTTCGTCTTTGATCTTATTTTCCCCACCAAATAGCGACATGACTGAACTCTCTGATGAGGAAAAAAGTAGCACACTTACGGATATAAAACAACAGCCTGCAGCCCCCCCTTTATCCGGAGGGTCTACCGTGTCAACGGGGGTTATACAATCCGTAGATCGCGTAGCGGCTTCTTCTTCAGCAGCGCCTGCTGCTATGCCCGTTGCGCCTTCTCATGCGGCACACGTTTCTGCAACGCGTCTTTTTATGAACTCCACGTCACGTTTCCGAATTCCCTCGGTACGACCACAAGAGTACCTGCGGGACTATATGCTGAGTGGTGTCGGACTTGGCATACCGGAATTGCAACAGTACGTGAGTAAAGTAGAACCTATGGTACGTGTCATGCTCGAACGTACCCAGCAGGTGCATGCCGTGCAGAATATTTTGGAGTACTTTTTAAAAGGCGACAGAAGAAACGACAAGGAGATCCTTCGATGGCCAGAGCATTTGATGCAATTTATGGAGTATTGTAACACCACACGTGCTTTGGAAGACCCAGACAACCAGAAACTTCACGTTAAATCGGCATATCGAGGATTGCTTCAGCATTTGTATCAAGTGCGTCCTCGTCGACGAGATCGTATCGCAATTGATTATGTTAACCAGGAATCAGTAAAGTTAGTGAGGTTATGGTGGGCATGGGAGCCAGCGAAGCGTATTAATCTTCCATTTACGTTAATAGAGCACAAGGCGCTGAACAGCATCAAAATCAAGGACTCATTCTTGATTTCAAACGTGCCTGCCTTTTCAGCGTTGAAGGCCAAGCAATTCTTGGCGACGTTAGTAGCTCGTTCAGACATAAAGGCTATTCTAGCGTCCACCATACTAACGAGCAAAGGCTCTGATGTAGTGATAAGCAAGTTGTAGATAGCCTACAAATAATAAAAAAGGAAACTCAAATAAATCCTGCATGCCACAACACATTGCTGGTAATACCTCAACATGCGTATGAGGAGGGAAAGATGAATGTAGAAAATATTTCCAGCGAAATGTGTATTTATTTTTCTTGTTGTAGGATAAAAAAAGAGCCATTCTGATAGGGGGTTCATCTATATATCGCAGTCCAATTAGTTTCAAACACTTATCTAATAAAGTATCAAGTTGAATTCTATTTAACTGGATATGATGGTATATTTTAATTGCATCTTTTCATTTTTTGTATGCATATTTTTCTTTCTCAATACTCCTACGGTTACAATTGATGCTAGTGCGCGAGAAAGTGGTTTATGCTTGGCTTTAAAAAAAAATGGGTGTATATATTTTTTTCTCTATTCTTCTTATTACGTCATATAGATTTTATTAATTATATTAAAGGATAAGGACTCTGGACGCCTTTGCGTGTTGGTACTTTTCCTTTTCACCGCCTCGAGCGAAATGCTGAAATCGTGTGTTTACTCTGATTAGCGGAAAATTATACATGTACCACAAATGTATTTTTTCTTCTAGTGCAAGTGATAACTTTTTGATTCTTTAAAACTGCATTTTTTTCATTGTCCTTTTAGTTTTATTCGACAAAAAAACAAAAGATACTTAATTGGTATAATATACTTTTATAGTTCCTTATTTTGTGATCTTTCCTATGGCAATGAAAGCTACAGATATCGAGTGTCTGGCACAGATGTTAGACAAAAATCACTCCTTTACTAGACCCTGTAGCCAAACAGTAGGATATAGTTTGCAGGATACCGCAGAAGTCGGTCCTTCTGCAGCGGCTCTTCCTTCACAAATTCCGCTCCCGTCGACCGTTGTGGACAAACAACTGCACCTTCCTAAGCCATCCCATAGCAAACGAAACCAGACAAACCAGAAGGACGATGCCGCCAACACAAACCGTTTTATTGGTAATGAAATATGGAATCAGGAGGAGCTGCGAGTGATGTACGAGTCTAACGTATTGCATGTATCGTCTTCAAGTGCGTCCCTTGCTGATCGTTGCGGACTGAAAGCTGTCAAGGGAAATGCAAAGTCGCTGAGACAAGCTGTCACGACGCCACCAACGCGCCAGGACTGGCAAGAGGAGCCACCTTACGAAGTCCTTTACCAGCAGTACCTCACGGCCGAGGATGTATATTTGGAAATGGATTTTACCCGTAGTAGCTCCAGTTCGGCTTCTGACGGAATTATAGTTAAAATCAAGATGCAAAAGCTTTCTGTATCACCAAATTCGATTGAGCTGCATGTTGAGCCCCTTCAAATGATTTTGTCGACCCCAGAGTATTATTTAAAGGCAGAGCTACCGCAACAAGTCGTGAAGGGTGTGGCTGATGCGAAGTGGGATGCAACCAAAAAGATATTGACTGTGCAACTAACCTCAGAAGTATCCAACAGGGTGAAATTGATTTGAAGAGTATAAAATAAGACGAACCTTAGAGAGGGGTATCTTTTCTTTGTTCAGGCCTATTTATTGATTTTTGCAGGAAAAGATGTTTCTATATCGTTTCGTGAGTAATGTAGACGCAGTGATCATGCAGCACCCTGTTCGATGGTGTAAAGCACCTTATTTGTAGATAATAATAAATTGGAAGGATATGTTACTAACAGCTTTGTGCTTAGCCCAGCATGCGTTTTGGTCCTCATGGACGCAAACAATTAGAGAAGAACAGAGTATAAACTTGCACTTATCAATCCTGTATCACATTTCGAGTAAATTTTCTTCTTAATGTTATTCTGAAAAGTAGCATAAAAAGAAGACACAATCATAATATAGAAAATTTTGCAATTATATTCAACGATAGATAGATTCAGTACTGCACGCACCGATCTAATTTACTTCTGCAACCAAATGGATTACACTGATTTATACCTATGGCGTAACAAGGCAAACCTGCCCCAGAGAGATAGCATGGGCATGCCTCAGGAAAAGATGGGGGATCCCACATTATCCTCGACTTCGAATCTCAAGGGGATTGCTCTGAGCATTGATCATCTGGTAGGTGGTACACTTTCGGCCCAAGAGTACACAGAAAAGTTGGAGGCTTTGGATCAGCGCGTGAGTGGCTTTGATGAAAAAATCATGAATTTGATTCGTTTGATGAAGCTCTCCCAGGGACTCACTGAAGAGAAGAACATGGAGCTGCGTCAAGAGAACCGAGAGCTACGGGAGCGTGTTGAACGGCAGGAGCACGCGATGAATCAAATGTTTCGCGAGCTAGCCGATCTTAAGACCACGATGTCGTCTTCCCTAAAAGAGGAAATTGAAAGAGTCCAAAACGGTACCGAGGTGCAGATTTCTATGCAAGTGGAACGTGCACTTGAAAAAGTTGTATTCATATCTCAGGAGTTGGATACAGTACGAAATGGAGCTTGTAATTTAGGAGAGCGTCTTGAGGAGGTCCGCAATGCACAGAACAAGTCGCTAGAGACGTGGATAGCAGAGCTTGAGACCACCAAAACTTGGGCGAGACGCAACTTTCAGAGACTAAAGCAACACGTGGATCAGATCTGCTCCGAGGTTTCGGTTATCAAGGGGGAACATGACGAGCTATCTTCACGTATCCAGGAAGTTAGTTGTAAAGCTGATATAGAATGTAAAAAACTCCAACTCATTCTTCGACAAAAGTCAAGCGAGGCGGAGGCGTTGGAGTCCTTGGTGAACAAGGAGCTTCGAAATGTTCGATTGGTGGCCCGGAAGCATGAAATCCTTCGTTCATCAGATCTCACGCCTGTGCCACGGGAGAACATAAAAAAGATGGCTTCATGTGAAGAACTAAAATTTCCAAACAAGATTGATTTTAGTGTAAAATCATAGAACAAAATTTTATAACTCTGTTCATGAAAATTTGAAATGCGAGGGCGTCTGGGAAAAAATGCATGCATCAGTTCCCGCGGACTACGTTAAATGAATGAACGTTGAAAAGAAATCTGCAGGCTTTTCTCCACATTTTCCTTTCTAGTTTTACATTCAAGTAAAAAACGTCACCAGCAGGATTCGAACCTGCGCGCGAGATCACAACTGATTTCGAGTCAGTCCCCGTAACCACTTGGGTATGATGACACGATGTGCAGGGTAAATATGAAGTTAGAGCAATTTTTAACGATAAACGGACTTGCCAGATCGGACCCCAATGGCAGGATGGCCGAGTGGTCTAAGGCGGGAGACTCAAGTTCTCTTCTATTCGTAGGCGCGGGTTCGAACCCCGCTCCTGTCACTTTTCGTTTTTTTACAATTCCGAGGTCGATTTCGACGCCTTTTCCATTTTGAGGATTTTGGCTTCGTCCAACCCTTGTAATTAATACTTTTTGTGCATTTTTGACAACTCTTGGCACGAATGTGTTCTTGAAGTTTTTGTTATCTTTTTTCCGACATTTTTCTTTTACCTACTCTTTAACCTTTATTTGATAAACTTTAATAAATATATCGTTCGTATTCGGGAATTTCCAGAGCTCACACCTTTTTTTTCGGCAAATTCTATTGTTTCAATGACTTTCAAGAGAGTTATCGGCTGCGTCATGGTTCCCTTCCGCCTAAGCGTTCAAGTTTATTAAAAATGGCATGTCGTGTCGGCGGAATAACGTAATATTCTAAAAATATTTCATGACGTTTGAAAAATGGTGAACTACGGGATATTTTAAACATTAATGGGGGATCCTCGCTAATGGTAAATAGAATTATCCTTTGACACATAACTTAAAATAATTATTAGGGTGTGCGCGCCAGGTGTATATTAATTTAAACACGGGGGTTGTCTTAATATATTATTTGTAGAATAAAAGGGAGTTGGTGTGTTGGTATTTTTATTTCTACTACTGTGGTTTTGCGGGCTTCCGATTTTATGTCCAAGGGTGAGTGCGTCGTTTGGTATAAATTTTCAAAAAAAAGCTTGCTATTATTTGCATACTTTTTTTCCTCTCTGTAATACACAAAGTCTTTTGTTGATATGACTTTTATATAATTTAAAAGGTTTGATTTGAAATTTTATTTTTCGTTAGCTATCATTAGTTAATAGAATATTTATTTATTATTGTCATTATTATTTATTTTAAATTTCTTCTTGTTTAAGATATTTGTTTTATTTACACATAATATAGCAAAAATACTCAGGGAAAGTATTTGCACTAAAATTTTATTTATATAATTTTTATAAATCATTTTAGTTTATTTTACTAAAGAAAAATTAAATGCAAAAAAACTTGTATACAGTATTCAGTTTTGCATATATATATATATTACTAATAATATAAAGAGTTATAAAATTTAGATAGAAAAATATTACAATTAATGCTATTATTTTTCTCACTATATTGCCTAATTTATTAATTTTACTACTGCTGTCAGCAATCATCATAATAATTTTATGGATAATATTGGTACCATATTTGTAATCCTGCTAACAATTATTCAACAATAAAAATAATAGTATTTTTATTGTTCATATTTTTATAATAAAAATATAATACTAATATTCATTATAAATACTATTCAAAATCTTTGTGATATTATACGAATTTTTTTTTCCCATCTCATATAAAAATTAGTATTATTACTTATTTTTTTTCTATTTATTAATATTATTTATATTCATACTATTTTAAGAAATTTTTGTATTATGTCAATAATGATAATATTAATTTATTCTTATCTTTTTATTATTTATATTTTAACATAATAGTTAAAATATAATATTTTACGTTTTTTCAAACTTATTATTATTATTATTATTACTATTAATAATATTTTTCTTCAATTTATTATAAAAAAAATATCAGTAAAATAGCATCTGCTTTTTTTCTCAAAATATGCATAATAAATAAAATCCAGAGTGTTTTTACCATTTTTCACATGTAAAAAATATTATACATATATGCTTACGCTTTTTAAAATAAGAATTAAATAAACCATCAAATAAATTTTAGCACCATATTTATGATGTTTCATTCTAAGCTTTGGTTTCTAAAAAAGGTAGATGTTTGTGTTATTGGCGGTGGTCCTGCAGGTGTAGCTGCAGCTTTACGTGCAACCGATTTCGGAAAAAAGGCCTGCCTTATCGAAAAATCAAGGATTGGTGGTGCAGATTTATGGAATGGTGCTCTTCAATCCAAAACACTTTGGGAAATGGCAAATTTCGCTCACTACATGAAAAACACTCAAAATGTTTTTCATGTGAAGAAAGAGATGCCACCAATTAAATTTCATCGCGTATCTTCTTGTCTGAAAGAAGCTGCAGAGAAACGTGAGTCACAAATTCTTCATCAACTCAAAGCCTCAGAAGTAGATACTCTTTTTGGGTTTTGTGCATTCGAAACTCCGAACACAGTTCGTGTCAATTTTCTTAACGGAGAAACTGAAATAGTGGAATCGGATCATTTTGTCATTGCAACCGGTGCGCAGCCACGTGCGCATCCGATGGTTGTGGCAGATGGCAAAGTAGTTTTTACATCGGATAATGTTATGCTGAATCCATTTCCTAAGAGTATTGTTGTTATTGGTGCAGGTATCATTGGTTGTGAATTTGCCACCATTTTTGCAAAATTTAGCATGACACAGGTAAATTTAATTGAAAAAAGCAATCGAATTTTGCCAATGGAGGACGATGATGTTTCTTTCTGTGTTCAGGATATGCTTGAGAAAAGGGGTGTTAATTTTCACCATAATTCTCAAATGATAGACTGTAAGGTAAAAAACGGCCGCTTCCATTATCTTCTCCGGGATGTAAAAAATGTTACTGAAAAGGAGCACGTCGTGGATGCTGCCTTGATATCTATTGGTCGTGTTCCATGCCTTTCTAATTTAAACTTGGACAAAATTGGAGTTAAATTAGATGGTGGACGAATTGAACGGGACAAATTTCTTCGTGTGAAACCTCACAAACATATTTACGCATGTGGGGATGCTGCTACTCGTGTAGCTCTCGTAAATGTGGGTGAGCTTGAAGCTCAAAGTTGCGTAAACCATATGTATAAACCATATCCAGAGGATCAACTTATAGGTGGTTTTGATAACTTATCTACTATTATGTTTTTGGACCAAGAAGTAGCAGCTGTGGGGCTAAATGAACTGCAATGTCAAAAAATGAACATTTCTTATAAAATAGCACGGTACGCTTATAAATTTGTTGGTCGTGCTTTGGCCATGGGGAGCGATCAAGGATTTGTAAAATTGATTGTTACAAATGACGAAAAAATGCAGGTATTAGGCGTACGGGCAATTTCCCCTCATGCCAGCAGTGTTATCGAGCTTGCTTCTCTTGCTATACACAATAGGGAGTCAGCCTATACACTGAGTGGACTCCATACTGCATATCCTTCCGTAACACAAGGGTTCAAGGAATGCGTTAATATGCTTCTTGGAGTCTCTACATTGAAGCCAAATGTATTTCCTGAGCTTGTACTGAAAGAGTGGAATCCACCAAATTTCGAGAGAGGTCGTGCATACCAAAAGCAATCCAATTAATAAGTTTCTATTAAATTGATCAACTATATCCATAAGTCTACACTATTCTGTAGACCTTCGTATAGTATTTTTTGCGTTTTTTGAGGTAAACATGCAAAAAGTTGTAACTACAAAACATGTCTAAGATTTTACTATTTATTATTAAATTATAATTTTAGCAAAAATCGTTTAGAATTTGTTCTATGCAATTTCTTTTTCTTTTTAAGAAAATAATAATGCTTATTTTTTGAATTATCAAAGGACTTGTTATTTAATAATTAATTTCCTTTGATTTCAAATAAATCTTATAAATAAAAAAAATATATTTGTTAGGAATATTATTAGGAAGGCTACTTCTCAATGGATACAAAATCGTCACCGGTTAACATTGATGAAAATGACATCAAAGCTGCGCTAGCCGTTAATATTCGACCACACGTTCGTATGGTGGGTATCTTAAATACTCATCCTAAGGTTATTGCTAACGATTTAGAAGCGATAAAAATGTGCGATTCGATTCAAGCTGTTACTGCAGTGATGGAAACGATTAGAAATCGATGGTCTAACCTTGGCATTTTTCGTACAGTTAATTATAACTTTGAGCCAACACAGAATGGCGAAAAAGGTGACATATGTGTGAGAATAGATGTCGAAGAAAACAAACCCAAAAAGAGCATTGGTATTTTCACAACTGACACATCTCTACCAGAGGTGACTGTAGCTTTTGAGAATGCACTGGGTGGGCGTTATTCTATAAAAGGAAATTATATTCCCCCGGCTTCTCGTGTTCATTCACTTTCAGTTTCTTTGCTATCAAACGTACCATTTATCGGTCAAAATGCGGAGTATTACATCGGAAGGCGAACAGAAAGCAAGGCCTTTCACGTCGCCAGTGGTGAACATATTGAAGAAGTGAAGGCAACGACACAAACACGGAAATTTGGCATTCTTTCAAATTTTACAATAGGGTTTCAACGACGTACTCTACTAGCAAAAAACAAACGTAGTCTCCCGGAGACATTGTTGAGCGATTTCAGTACGACTAATAAAGGGTACATTCGTCATGAGCTAGAGCTTTCACGTCTTGCGTATCACGCCAATATGCACCTGTACAACATGTATCCATTACCAATTTATGGGCATAGTATTAATTTGACCAATGAGCTTGCCGGAGGCATCATTGCAGGCAGTTTTGATTTTCTGAAAAGTGAATTGCAGTGTTGCAAGCATTGGCCCTTAGGTCCTTTTTTTAGTTTTCAGTGGGGTCTTAAGCTCGCTGGAATATATCCTTTCATGAAAAGCCACATTCCACTCAATGATCGCCTTTTCTTGTCCAATTCTCATGTTCGGGGTTTTAAGTCAATTGGACCGTCGACACTGGACTTTGGTCCCTCTCAACAATTTGCAGCAACTGGTGGGAATGCATTATGGGCGACCTCATTAAACCTTAATTTTCCTCTTTTATTTTTTCCCAACAACGGCTTAGCTGCAATGCATTTATTTGTGAACGCAGGCAATCTTCGCATGGTCGAAACATTCCGACAATTTCAGGATGCTTACTCATGGTTCCGAAAATCCGCTTGTTCTTTTGGGATGGGAATAGTTATTACTCGGATACCCTTGTTTGGTATATCATCAAGCGGACGTTTTGAGCTAAACTTTTCAATTCCTCTAGGAATCGACAAGCATGGCAATGTAGCATTTCGTAATGGGAATTGTAATGTCTTTGATAAAATCAAGTTCGGTCTCGTATGGTCATCTAATTTATCGATCTAATTCCCCTCCTTCGCCTTAAAATTAAGTACTTGTCAATGGCATTTTCATATACGCCCCCCCAAATTCCAAACATGTACTTTTTTACAAAATATTCACATCATCCTTTTTGTGATTTATTTGTATAATTTCTATATCTTTTCAATACACTTGGTTTGTTGTATTCTATTTTTAAGTTTTTTTCAAAGACTGTAATGATAAGGCCAAAATAAATTCTTAGCAGTGCGCATCTTGTGTAGTTTGACAATGTCATGGTGTCCACCTGGTGCATTTATTGGAGAGTTCGATTCCTTTGTGGGTCCATCGATTTCTTTTGCCTTTGAATATAACACTTTTAAGGAGGGCGTCGGAATCAGCAACAAAGCCAGTAACATTACCTATGTTTCTTCAAAAGTGATTTTGGGGGAAAAGATAGCAAGCGGCGCATTGCACCCCAACTATTCCGATTACATGCGCTCTGTGGCATCGCGGGTGCTAACCTCTAACGAAGACCACAAGGAAAACATCATCTTCCAAGATATTGGATGTCCTTGTATTAGTAGCATATCTTTTTGTCTTCCAGATATTCTTGCGAGAGGCGAAAAGCGATCCTTTTGCTTGGTATTTCTTCATCCTTCTTACAACAAAATGCTTTCTAAGTGGCCCCTCATAGCAGTATGTAGTCGTATCTTTATTCAAGATTATTGTTTTGAAGCTGCGAACGAACTCTACACCTTAGAATATTCAACTTTACCAGACCTCGAACAGTGCAGAGAAGAGGCACATAAAACTTCGCTACGCCCCTTCGAGGCACTTATAAAACGAAAGGATGAAGACCTTTGGAGCACATTCACTCGGATTCATTGCTTTTTCGAGATTGTCTTGCCACTTCTCTTTTCAAATAACTCCATGTTCAACTCTTTGAGCTCCCAATTGAGTGAAGATATAAACAAAATCTTGAAAGATAAGATTACATCGATGATTGAGGAAGTGATTCCACAGGCTGAATTAAGATATTCTGTAGTTAATTTGCAAACTGAAAAAGATAAATGTGAAATTGAGGCTTCAACTCACTCACATCTATCGAATCAGATCATAGTAAAGCCACTCCCAGTGTGGCTTCTTGAGTTTTCAGAAGGATTCTCATCAGTTCAAGAACCCCAGTTACAGCTACACGACCTACTCAATGCCTTGTTTTCAGGTGAACAGATAATAGTATTTGGTGACAATGAATCTAGTTGTGCCAGCCTTGCTCTTTCTATGTCGTACATGCTCCCACATGAACTTATGCGAACGAAACTTTATTCCAACTCGTACGTAATGCCATATGAGAGTCAAATTGTTAGCTTTAGCAATCAGTTTCTTTCGGAGTGGGAGGTTGTGCCATTCCGCGACAGTGCTCAAACCACGGACCGCAAACGGCTGTTTGCCCTTTCAGAGATTGAGGCGGATGGTGTAGTTGGTGTCTGCGTTTGCAAGGGGCGCATCGATCAGGTATTCTATTGCGATGACCTTGCTCACGCAGTAGCCACCCCGTCACCAAGTTCGTCCGCTTGTTATAATAATGAGGTGCCTCATCCCCGAATAACAACTCTTACGTGTCGCATTATGGGACTTCTCCAGACGTACAGAACGGATATTTCGAAGTATCTCTCTAGTAATGATAGTAAAAAGATTGAAGTGGAGATCACATCGATCAAGTTACTGACTACTCAGATAATGCAACTGGTTAGTGAATACGCTCTTCGCGGAAGTGTGTATTTGAAGCTGTTTCGTCAGCAAGAAATTATGGTGAACGAAGCTTTGCTGAAAAGAAGAGCTTCATCGCGAGATACTTCGCTTTTGTCAAAAATTTACAAGTCTTTTAAAAGTGTTTTAGTTTCTAATACACCTCTTCGATCTGGGCTAAGTTTGACAACGGATGATATTTCTCATTTCCCGGTTTCTGTCCTTCAAAAAAATTCATCACTTCTTATTGGATCGGACAAGCGGTACAGTAATAAGCAATTTTTATTCCTGAGCTCTTCGCCAGAGGATCACCGTGTTCTGATATTTTTGGGAAGTCGAGCGACTGCTTGATAAAAACACAGTTATGTGTTTGTATTGCTACATTATTTTATTAGGTATATAATCGGACAGCGAGTGTTAGTGATGAGTACGTATTTTTTCCATCAGGCTTTTGCCTACCTTAGGCATGGAAGATATTTTGGGTTACTCCACACATGTATGTTTTTAGATTAAGCTTCATTATAAATCCAATAGGACTAGTTGTAGTTACAATAACATATCTTATGAACACAGGTTTACTTTACTTTTATTTGTTTATATGAGCCAATTTTAGGTCTCAGATTAAAGATTTTTGAGACAGGGGAATGTATCCAGTGCATCAATATTCAGGTAAGAGTGAAGCAACTGCTTGCTTTTTGTTCATTATATTCGAATTCCCGCTGTAGTGGTGGCATTAAAGGGGTGAGTGGGGGGAGGGGGGGAGGGAGGGATCATTTCTATAGCTTTATTAATTTTCCCATTTTTTTTTTTTGTCTTCCCAAGCCTAGCAAAAATGACTTTGATGAGCGTTCTGGCTAATGCGCTCAGCACTATTGCGAGCGCAGAGCGCCGTGGCAAGCGCCAGGTCCTCATTCGCCCCTCCTCCAAGGTAATCATCAAGTTTTTGCTGGTGATGCAGAAGCACGGTTACATTGGGGAGTTTGAGCTCATCGATGATCACCGTTCCGGAAAGATTGTTGTGAACCTCAATGGCCGTCTGAACAAATGCGGTGCTATTTGCCCACGCTTTGACTGCAACTCCAAGGAGTATGAGCGGTGGATGAAGCTCATCTTGCCCTCTCGTCAGTTTGGCTTTTTAGTTATGACCACATCTCTTGGCATCATGGATCACGAGGAAGCGCGTTCCCGCAATACTGGTGGTAAGGTGCTTGGTTTCTTCTACTAAGAGATATCGCAAAATGGTCAACAGACTATTTTAGGAAACTGATGATAGGAGAGAGGTACTGTTGATATTGCCTTTTTTGCTGGGTAAATCTTATTTACGTGCTTGCATTTGGAACATACTTTTAGAGGCTCAGCTCCACCTTGTGAGTGCTCCAAATTTTTATTTTGGTTTTGCTTCTTGAAGCAGCCTTTTTGTATTTTGTCTCTTTGCCGTTTTCACTCCTTTAGCTACTCTTAATTGCTTTTTATATTTTAGTTCATATTAGTTTTTCTAAAACAATGCGATAATTATTGTCATCCAAAGTTTCCCTTCGATTGCTTAGGGCAATCATATTTGTATTGAAAATGTATAAAAGTCATCGTGAGGCAATAAAATTTCTCTCGAAGAGTTTTTTTTTAACTATCTGGATCATCTAGTTGTTTCCAAGCGACAGTGCTTGTTATGATAAACAGCTATGACGCCTTGGCGATATTAAACATTTCTGGAAGCTGAGACTTTGCTTGGAGCGTTTGCTGTCTCCTTGTGTGCTTGGAGTCAAAAAATAGACAATTTAGTATCGCGCACCTCATTGCATCAAAAGAGGGATTGTCTATTTGAAAAAAAAGTAATGCCATGCATTTCCATTAAATGCGTCTAAATTGTAGACGGTTCTAGAGTTTTTTTATTGATATGGATCCTTTATAATCCTAAATCAAGCTTTTTCGTATTGCTTAGAATACTTGTTATATTACAGTATCTGTTTCAATATTTACTATTATGCAATCTTTATACTGCTGTTTTGTATAGTGATATTTGTTAACTTGCGCCGTTTTAGTTACCATTCTGTACAGAACGCGTACGTGGGTTCTGACTCTTATGAATCCTGTAGATTTTCTATTGGTCTTTGCATTTTACTGATGAAAATTGTTAACCATAATAACAAATCAATAGAAAATGACGTCCGTAGTAGTAGATAGTCAATTTAAAACAGGGGAACAAGTTCCCAAACTCCCCAGTAATTACCGTTTTGAAATTGATAAATGCGTCAAACGGATACTCGATAAAAGGGCTCGACGCGTTGCGCTACAGTTCCCTGAAGGACTTTTGATGTTTGCTGCACCCATAGCAGATATTTTGGAGGAAAGAACAGGAGCTGAAATGGTCATCCTAGGTGACGTCACATACGGTGCATGCTGTGTGGATGACTTTTCCGCTGCTGCACTTGGGTGTGACTTCTTAGTCCACTACGGCCACAGTTGTCTTATCTCCATCAAGGATTGTAGTCTTCGTAACATGATGTACGTCTTTGTGGAGATCGACATAGATGTTCAACACTTTGTGGATACCGTGAAGGCGCTAGTGCCGCGCGAAATGCGTGTGGTTTGTATTGCAACCGTGCAGTTTATTTCTTCTATGCGAGCAGGTGTCATGCTTCTGAAGGAGCACTTTGAACACCCGATCATTGTTCCTCAATGTCGCCCCCTCTCTACAGGAGAACTACTGGGCTGTACAAGTCCGAAGGTAAATCCATCAGAAGTGGATATTGTGCTCTATGTAGGAGACGGGCGCTTTCATTTGGAGTCCTTCCTTATTGCTCATCCAACTCTCTCGGCACTACAGTATGATCCATATAATAAAAGGCTTACCAATGAGGGCTACGCAACCTCTGAAATGCGTGCATTGAGGAAGGATGCAATTGACAAGGCTAGGAGCGCACAGAGCTTTGCTCTTATCATGGGTACCTTAGGTCGACAGGGAAACCCTCGTGTAGTAGATCGTATAATTGCTATGGCTGAACGAAAAGGAAAGCACGTAACACTGCTGCTAATGTCTGAAATATTCCCTAAGAAATTAGCGCAATTAGCAGACATTGATTGCTATATACAGGTTGCGTGCCCACGCCTCTCTATTGATTGGGGCTACGCCTTCGACCGCCCCTTATTATCCCCGTATGAAGCAGAGGTGGCACTTGGGAATATTGAATGGAGTGAGGAAGTATATCCCATGGACCATTACTCCCAAAATGGTGGAAAATGGGCTGTTTACACGGACAAATCTATTTAAACAGATTTGTATCTCAAACAAAGATTAATATAAAAAAAACCCCGAATAAACAAGTCTTCCATATATTTAATTAAGATAACATAATGTTCTGCTTTAAACTATTTTTCCGCCCTACAGGCTCTATGATTCAATGTTTTCGAATGTACCTGTGTGTATAAAGATTAGTGAACAGGTATACGAGGGTGCAAATCTAGTCAATATATAGGAATCTCTTGATTTCTAAATTAGAAAGGAGACTTCCGCAAGACATAGAGAACTATATAACACAGACTACTTATTATACTCGACATTGGTATGTCAAGTCTTCAAGTTCTTATCGTTTTTTACTCCTTTTATTTCATCTAAAAGATAGTTAAAGTGGTTTCTTGTCAATCATTACATAAAGTAGTTTATATTCTTTAATAACAAGTTTTCATACATACAGAAAATGTCAGCCGAAGAAACATCAGGACTCGAAGCCGCCCGCAAGCAGAAGATCCACAATCTGAAGCTCAAGACGGGATGCCTTGAGAATGAGGAGCTTATTCAAGAGCTCCACATATCCGACTGGTCCGAAATGCAGCGGCAGAAGCTGCGAGGTTCCCACGAGAAGGCTCAAGAGCTTCTTACTTCTGTTGAGATGGGCACTAAGTGGAATCTGATGGAGGCATACGACCTCGCCAAACTGATGCGCGTATGCGGCTTGGAGATGAACCAGCGCGAGTTGTATCGCCCGGAGGACAAACCACAGCTAATGGATATCATCGGGATAAAGAAGGTGCTACAGGATTTACGCCAGAACCGTAACAAGACACGCGTGGTGAGCTTCACGCAGCTGATTGACAACAGCATCGCTAAAATTGAGAAGGTTGAGGAGGAACTGCGCCGCTCACAGCTAGACGCCACTCAACTGGCTCAGGTGCCAACACGCATGCTGAAGATGGTCGAGGATATTATGAACACGACACAGATCCAGAATGCGTTGGCATCAACGGACGACCAGATGAAGACACTGCTTGCGCAGTTGGAGAAGACTAACGAGATCCAGAACGTTGCGATGCACGATGGTGAAATGCAGGTGGCGGAGGAGCAGATGTGGACGAAAGTTCAACTGCAGGAGCGCCTTATTGAGCTGCTCAAGGACAAGTTCGGCTTGATCAGCAAGGTCGAAGAGGAGAACGCGCAGTTCAAGGAGATCTACGAGGTACAGAAGCAAGCAAACCAGGAAACAAGTCAGATGAAGGATGCGAAACGCCGCCTCAAGCAGCGGTGCGAGACTGATCTGAAGCACATCCAGGATGCGATCCAGCGTTCCGACATCGAGAATGCTGAGGCGACAAAGCGATATGCCGCGGGCAAGGAACGCAGTGAGCGGTGCATCCGCGAGAACGAGGATGCACAGGAGGAGAACTGGAACAAGATCCAGGACCTCGAGCGACAGCTCCAACAATTGGGGACCGACCGTTTCGATGAGGTAAAGCGCCGTGTTGAGGAGATTGACCGTGAGGAGAAGCGTCGCGTGGAGAACGCGCAGTTCCTGGAAATCGCATCGCAGCACAAGAAACTTTTGGAGTTGACTGTGTATAACTGCGACGTGGGAATCCGGTGCACAGGCCTGATCGAGGAGATGGTGGCGGAAGGCTGCGCCGGTGTTAAGGCACGCTGTGATAAGGCAAACCAGGAGCTTGCCGCACTGCGTCTCGAGGTACACAAGGAGCACTTGGAATACTTCCGCTTGTTGTACCTTACCCTTGGCTCGCTCATTTACAAAAAAGAAAAGCGCCTCGAAGAGATCGATCGCAACATTCGTACGACGCACATCCAGTTGGAGTTCTGTGTTGAAACGTTCGACCCGAATGCGAAGAAGCATGCAGACATGAAGAAGGAGCTCTACAAGCTGCGCCAGGGAGTGGAGGAGGAGCTAGCGATGTTGAAGGAGAAGCAGGCAATCACATTGGACGACTTCAAGGAATCCGAGGAGGCCCTGGACGCCGCCGGTATCGAGTTCAGCCACCCTGTCGACGAAAACAACGAAGAGGTTTTGACTCGTCGTAGCAAGATGGTGGAGTATAAGTCTCATTTAACGAAGCAGGAGGAGGTGAAGATTGCAGCGGAACGTGAGGAGATCAAGCGGGCTCGCCTTCTGCGCTCCGGCGCGACTGCAGCACAAATCGCTGGTGGAGCAGGAGCTGACTCTGCAATTGCTGCGGACAACGATCAGATTGAGGCATAATC